GTTGGCCAAACATGCTGTGTCCGAGGGCACCAAGGCTGTCACGAAGTACACCAGCTCCAAGTAAAATAATGCTAGTTCTAAAATAAACCAAAGGCTCTTTCCAGAGCCAACAACATTATCTACAAAATGCTGTGTGCTCTTACTTGACTGTCGTTATGAAGTGTTGTCGAGTCGGTTCCAACCCACAGCGACCTATGTAGTGTTTCCGAAGAGCAGCTGGTGAGCTCAAACCGCGACCTTGCAGTTCAGACGGCTTTGCAGTCTGGCGCATTAGCACACAGCGCCACACCAGGACTCCCTAACTTGATTAGTTCAGTATAAAATCACTGGTGTTATATTTGAAAAGAGGTTTTCTGCTTTTTTCTTTTAGAAATTGTATGTTTAGAGCCATCTAACATGGCTGATTCATAGCAACACTGTATCTAGGGTTTCCGAGGAGCAGCTGTTGGGTTTGAGCTACTGACTTTGTGGTTTGCATACTAGTGCTGAGTCTATAGTGCCATACCAGAAGTGGTATAATATTGTATATTTTTTATTTTGGTACATGGTGAGATCTGTGTTGCATGTTCATTTTTTCTTAATTGTTCCCAGCATCATTAAATTATGACTCATAACTACCCTGCATAGGGTTTCTAAGGAGCAACTGGTGGGTTTGAACCACCAACTTTGTGATTACCAGTCCAGTGCTGATCCTACAGCACCGTACCAGGACTTCACATAACATTCGTTTGCACTTTTGTAAAAAAACAAACAGTTGACTATATGGGTCTAACTTGGCATTCTCCTGTCCCCTGACATATATCAGTCTTTTTGTCAATAACAGTGTCTTGTGTACTTTTTGATTGGTTTCATATAATGTCCTGCTGTGGCATTGTGGGTTAATGTGCCAGACTGCAAAGCCTTTTGAACTGCAAGGTCAGTGATTCAAGCTCACCAGTTTCTCCTCAAAATCCCTATACAGGGTCGCTATGGGAATTGACTCAACAGCACTTAACAACAACAACAACAATGTTTTAATATTAGATAATGAGTCCTCCATTTTTGTTCTTTTTCAGAAACGTTTTTTCTAATCTATTATTTTCGTCTTCTAGTAATGATTTTTAGCATCAACACCTACAAAAAAATCTTGCAGGGCTTTTGATTGGAAGTTCATTGACTCTATTCCAATTGGGGAGATTTAACACCTTAATATTGAATCTTTCTATCATGAATACATTTTAACTCTATTTAGATGCTCTTTGGTTAACTTTAGTCATTTTCCCTTACAATCATTGCACATACTTGTTAGATGTATACTTAAATACTTGATTTCTGTGCTATTGCTAAATATTTTTCCTTGTGTTTGCTTTTATTTTTTTTATGATTTTTAACAACTTTGTGGAATAAGAATCTACATATCATAAAATTTAACATTTTAAGATACAGAGTTGAATGGTTCCCAGAATATTTTCAGAGTTGCACAAGTGAACATATCCCATTGGTCAGTTGGGCACCTTTCTGAAAAAAATTACCCAAAAGCTTGCAACTATTGAAAAAATTCTCTGAAGTTTTTTGCTCAGTCATCCTTCAAAAAGCAAGTGCCATTTAGAAATTGTATGTATTCTATTTTTTAAGTTTTTATTGTGAACTGAGTGATAGTTTACATGGGAGAACATCGGTTTTACACCGTTTCATTGCAATGATTACAATCTCCTCTGGGCATCATCATTCAACAGTATTTGCTTCCATTCCCTGTGGTTTTGTTGTTGTTGTTATTGTTGTGGTTTGGGGGGTGGGGTGTACACAAAAACACTCAAGAATATATAATAATTTAAACAACCAAAGGGCACTTTCTGTAAGCCTGCCTCCTGGTCGCCAGCACTCAGTCCCTATTTTTCCATGAATGTAGTAGAGTCCTCAGCTGCTCCCTCTCTCCATGTCATCATCTCTACCTCCATCCTGGTGTTGCTGCTTCTCTGGATAAGGTCCCACATTCCGCTTGTGCTCTTCTCCCTTAAGGCTTGAATTTTTTCTTAAGTTCTTTCACTTGAGAAATGCTAAGTGTGTTCTTTCCTTTTGATTTTGTTACATGAGGTCTTTGCACATTTCATTATAATACTTTGTCTTCTTGAGCTGCCCTTTGAAATTTTTTTGTTCAGCTCTTTTACTTCCTCTTTGATTCACTTTAGCATTTCTATGATGGAGAGAGCAAATTTCAGAGTCTCTTCTGACACCCCTTTTGGTCTTTTCTTTCTTTCCTATCTTTTTAATGGCCTTTTGCTTTCTTCCTGTATGTTGCTCTTGATGTCATTCCACAGCTCTTCTGGTCTTCAGTCTTTAGTGCCTAATGAATCAAATCTGTTCTTGAGATAGTCTCTTAATTCAGGAGGGATATTTTCAGTCATATTTTGGCTCACATGAACTTGTTTTAAGGTACTTCTGCTTCAGCCTGAACTTGCATGTGAACAATCATCTAGTCTTCCCCATGGCCTTGTTTTGGCCGATAATCTCTTCCCACACATATAGTTAATTTGATTTCTGTATATCCAACTGGTGAGGTTCATGTTGTTTAAAAAAGGTATTTGCAATGAACAAGTCCACTGGTCTTGCAAAATTCTGTTATGTGATCTCCAGCATCATTTCTGTCACTAAGGCCATGTTTTCCAATTACTGATCTTTCCTCTCTGTTACCAACCTTCACATTCTAATTATCAGTAATTATCAATACATCTTGATCTCATGTTTGATCAACTTCAGGCTGAAGAAGTCAAATTCTTCCATTGCATCATCATTGGCTTTAGTTAGTGGTTGGTGTGTACATTTGAATATAGTGGTATTGACTAGTATGATATTATCCTATCACAAACAGCATTGTATTTTTAGATAGATCTTACAATGTTCTTTTTGACAGTGTGATGCCATTTCTTTTCAATTTGTTGCTCCCAGCATAGTGAACCATATATGATTGATTCAGAATGGCCAATCCCAGTCCATTTCAGCTCACTACTGCCTAGGGTATCAATCTGCATGCATTGCACTCCCCCAATTGTCCTAGATTTGTACTTCATACATCCCCTGTTCCAATTATTAATGGAAGTTCACAGCTGTTTCTCCTCATTTTGAGTTGTGCCCCATTAGCAAATGAAGGTCCTGAAAGCTTTTGCTTCACCACAGTCAAGTCTATTTTGAGGAGGCAACTCTTTCCCAGTCATATTTTGAGTGCCTTCCAACCTGAGGGATTCACCTTCTGGCACTATATCTCACAATGGTTCGCAGCTATTCATGATGTTTTTGTGACTAAACATTCAGAACTAGTCACCTCTCCTTCTTCCTAGTTTGTGTTAGTCGGGAAGCTCCTCCGAAACCTGTCCACAATGGATGACCCTGCTGGTATTTAAAATAGTGGTGGCATAGCTTCTAGCGTCACAGCAACATCCAAGCCACCACAGTGCGGCAGACAAGATGAGTGGTGATTTTTCTTCAAAGTAGGGCCCAAATGGTCATTATAGAGCAGATCTTGCACAGACTCCATGAGATGGATATTGGGCATTCCTGTTGTGGTGCTATAGGATCAGCACTGGACTGCAAACCACAAGGTCAGAAGTTCAAACCCACCAACTGCTTCTAGGAAACCCTATACAAGGCCACTCTGTGTCAGAACTGACTCAGTGGCACTTAGCAACAACATTTTGAAGTCTACCCTACATCAAATAGGACACAAAGCACATTTTAAATAAAATTAATAAGTGATCCCACCATAACTTGTAAGAAAATACAAAACCAGAGGTGATTCAATTAGTTATTCATCCTTGCCACTTGACTGTGATTAGCCAGCCTGTGGGTTCAAACATGAAATACCTTAAGGAAGATGGCAAACTCACCAAACTCCAATATGCCAAAATGCCCTCAACAAATATCCCAGCCTTGAGACACCTCACTAAATATTGAGGGCATCACCAGGCCAAGAAACTGGGCATTTTGAGGGCATCAATAGTACTTTTTCACGCACCAGAGCCAGTACGAAGAAACAAGATCCATGCTCCCATGCCAGTGTCCCTAAGGTCTAAAGATCTATCTTCAGTACCAGGCCTTTGTTTTCTAAATCAGATCATAAGTTTAAAATATTCAAAGAATGAGCATCACATTCCTCATATCTCTTCATCCCCAGAAACCACTTACACATGAACATTGACTACTGACGCCTTTCTATAGACTTAGCCCTGTCATATTCCATCAGACTCTCTAGATACTCAGTAAAAATGTAAATATATTGCCAGTCACTTAAGGTGGCATTTGGAGGGAAGTGAGATTGAATTAACAGTACAGTATTTTTTATTAAGTGCCGTCAAGTCGGTTCCAACACATACTCTGTTGTATAGGGTTTTCAAGGAGCTGCGCTAGTGAGTTTGAACCACCGAACTTTGGGGTTCAGACCGACATTTCTTTCTGCCAGTGCTTTATCCCATAGCTGTAAGTACACCTGAACTGCTGTCTACACTCACTTGCTATCGTAGGGGGTGGGTGTGGTTGCGTGCCATCTAGTCAATTCTGGAAGTATATCTGAAGCACTCAAGCCCAAAAAGCCAAACCCACAGCCAGAAATCAATTCTGAATCTACATGGGCTTGCCTGCACTGCCAACCACGGGCACAAACATCCTCATCTTTCTTCCATTGAGCAGCTTGTGGGCTTAAATTTGTGGGGCTTGTAGGAATAATTGCGCCTTGCGATTGCCTTAAAAGCCTGTTAAGTGCTGTCAAGTCAACTCAGACTCAACAACCTTGCAGTTTCCAAAAACTATAGTCTTTCTGGGAGAAGGAAGCCTGTTTCTTCCACAAACAGTAAGATGTGCTCCAATTGCCAACCTTGTGGTCTCTGACCAGTGCTTATGCTACAGAACCACAGGGTTTTCCCACAAGACCAATTAACTTTTCGAAAAGAAAGTTAACTAAGTAACGAGCCAACAGCCTTTTAAGTAATGTAGGTGGCTCTGAAAAGAGCCTTTGTTTAAAAACGACAGACTTATTTGGAGCTGGTGTACTTAGTAACGGCCTTGGTGCCCTCGGACACAGCGTGCTTAGCCAATTCTCCAGGCAGCAGTAGACGTACTGCGGTCTGAATCTCGCGAGAAGTGATAGTCGAGTGCTTGTTGTAATGAGCCAAGCGAGATGCTTCGCTGGCAATGCGCTCGAAGATATCAGTGACAAAAGAATTCATGATGCTCATAGCCTTTGAGGAGATCCCAGTATCTGGATGGACCTGCTTCAACACCTTATAGATGTATATGGAGTAACTCTCTTTACGGCATCTCTTGCGCTTTTTCCCTTCCTTCTTCTGAGTTTTTGTTACGGCTTTCTTAAAGCCTTTCTTGGAAATCGTAGTACCTTTAGAAGACAGCTCTGGCATGATTAGCGTACAGCTTTCTCCTCATAAAATAAGTGACTAGTAGGTGGCAAGAGGAGTGGTATTTATAGGCCTACGCTTAAATGACGTCGCAGATATCAGGAGTCTGGTTGGATAATAGGTTGCGATTGTATGTAAATGAAGTCATTCCAGTAAAGATTTCTGATTGGTTTGAGGGAGCCAATCGGATCGCACAGCAAAGCGCAATTTACCAGCAGATTATAAATAAGCTACAGTAGTGCCCTAATGAACGTAGTTTAATAGTATAAGTGCTGTTTTTATGTCTATGTCAGGTTGTTGGAAGTAGGCGGCAAGGCAAGTGCTAAAGCTAAATTCCGGTCTTCCTGCACGGGGTTACAGTTTCTGGTGCGGCGAACCCATAGTTTGCTCCGGAAGGACAACTATGTTAAACGCATTGGGGCCTGCTCCTCTATGTACCTGGCGGCAGAGACCCTGGAACTGGCTGAACAATATAGCTCAGTAATTTGAGTGGGGTGACCATCGCGTGGGGTGATGTCCTGTCCAGAATCCAGGCCGTGCTGCTGCTCAAGGAAATTGACAGCCACCACTACGAAGTCCAGAACAGGTAATAGCATTTTAGTAAAGCCCAGTGATATCCCCTGAATATCGGGAAGAGAGGGAAAAGATATCCTCAGTGCAAAGGTTCTCAATAGCAACCCACAATCTCAGAAAACTGCATATACAGTAACTATCATTTACTATCAATAATGTGGCAATGCAAGATAGTGCACTGGACCATCGGTTTGAACCTCAAGGCTAGCGGTTCAGACTACCAGCGACCCGTTAGAGATCACATACAGGGTCACTATAAATTGGAACCGACTCGAAGGCACTTAATGACATAATTACCAGAACTAATTAGTAGGAAGTCAAATTGATTTTGACACAAGAGTTGGCTTTAATGGGTATTTAGAAGCTGTTCATTTAACACTAAAAATAGAAAATTCTATAACTAATTTGCGTTAGAGACACCTAACGGTGGACCTGCTTTGGCATCTAACAGAAGTCAGTACTAGACTTCTGACAGCAACAATAGTTCATGGAGTCAGGAGAAGGAACAAATGTGACAGCCATGTATTGTTAAGTGCCAACAAGTCAGTTCCTATCCATAAGGACCCTGTAAAGGGCTCCTGAGGAGCAGCTGGTGAGCTTAAACTGCCAACTTTGCGGCTCAAACCAACCTTGCAGTCCAGCATTAACCCACAGCGTTACATACCATCAAGTCCATTTTGATTCATGGCGACCCTGTAATGGGTTTCCAAGGATTGACTGGTGGGCTTGAACTGCTGACCTTGACGTTAGGGGTCCAAGGCTTATCATACAGGACCATACCAGGACTTCCATGTAGTTATTGAAATAATGTGAACATAGGAAATCGTACCTTAAAACTAGTAATTTAACCAGTTAAATACTGCTCGAGTGGTTGTAGATTAGAACCAAAGGAAAGAGAAAGGTATTGCAGTTTCCAGTTTGCATCTGTTGAACATTCTGCAGGATTTCTCAAGAGGCCATCTAGAAAGACTTCCATCCAAACATGCGAGGATTGCTCAGTGTCATAAAAGCTTTGTTAAGTGCTTTCTAGGCAGTTCTGACTCAGTGACTATGTCAGACAACAGAACTAAGGGTAAATCCTTTGTTGTTGTTTTTGCTAAGTACCATCCAGTTGATTTTGACTTATAATCAGACTCATAATGACACTGTATATGGGGTTTCCAAGGAGAGGCTGATGAGTTTGAACTTTAAGGTCCAGTGCTTTATCCCACAGCACCATACCATGACTCCATCAGATGGGTTCAGGCTCAGCAGCCCTGTATGCAGCAGAAGAAAACCCTGCCCAGTCCTCTGCCATCCTCACAGTCATTGCTGTGTTTGAGTCCATTGTTGCAGTCTCTGTTGTAATTCCATCTCTTAAGGTCTCCCTCTTTTTCAGTGACCCTCTTTACCAAGAATGATGTCCTTCTCCAGGGACTGGACCCTCCTGATAGATCTAAAACATATGTTTAGATGTAACATATTAATAGGCCAAAAGTTTTAGAAAGCAAGTTTATTTTTAAATCAAGAAGGACTAAGTGTGAATATTTGATATCTAGAATTTTTTAAAATGTAGAATCAAATAAAAAAAACTTGATGCTATGTGTGGTGATAAAATTCTAGCATCTCAGGAATGTGACAAGAACATTGTCTCTTTTTTTTTTTTTTTTTAATGTTCAGGGATTTTTAAGTTTTAACTACGAAAAGACAAAGTAGTATTCCATTTATCTGTTTACCCTATAAACACCAGAAGAGATAAAAGCAAATGACTGTTAAATAAGACTGTCAAATATAAAATTATTGATTATTGTAAGAAACCCCATAGTCTGTTTATCTGAAAATAAAAATTGCATTTGTTATCAGTGGCTGGACAACCATTGCTAGAGACATGTAGAAGCATGTATGAAGAAAAGTTTAAAGTTCTGTGAGAATGTTAATAAAAGATGTGTGTAAATTACATAATGTTCAATAAAAACATTCAATCAAGCTTACTAAAAAGCCAATTGTCCCTTGAATTAATCCACAGAAATATGGAGTTAGGCTTGAAATAGTGTGAGGGAGGCACAAGAGGAATAAAAATTTTCGAAAATGTGGAAAGAAAATGATATCAATATACTGAATAAAGTTGGGTAAAAATGTTTAGAGCATGACAAACATAAAATTTTAGAATCAGGAATGAATACTGAATTGAATAAATGACTGACTAAATAAATGAAGACTGTGAAACAAATCTCCCTTACCAAGGCATTCCAAGTAACTTATGTAGATACTCTTCCCTCCAGGAAGTGGCCTATAACTCCCCAGATTTGCTTCCTAAGCATAGAATATGGAAAGGCACAGGATGTGAGAAGTGACTTTACAGTGGAGAAACCTGGAAGTCCTTAGCCAGATGATCAAGGTTAACATCAATGAGAACCCATGCTGATTGAGATATGCCCTTAATGTGATGTTAAGAAGGGCCTTTCACCTCTGTGGTCTTCCTCCCTAAAACCCATATCCTCAGAGTAATCATGAGAAAAAACTCAGACATCCAAACTAAGGGACATTGTACAAAATGCTTAATTGTTACTCTTCAAAAAGCTATCAAGGTCATTTAAAAAAAAAAAAAAGGAAATATACTATGAAACTGATGAATTCACAGTTTGATGAAGTATCCAGTGAAGGCTGAGGAGACAGTAAACTAGACGTAAATGTGGTTCCTTGGGTGGGATCCAAGAAATAACATTAGGGAATGTCTAGTGAAATCAGGGAAGTTTGTTGTTGTAGTTAGGTGCCATTGAGTTGGTACCAACTCATAGTGACCTTATGCACA